CAGAGATCCGAAGAGCATAAACTGGCTAACTGCCAAAGCTCCCATTGCGTTAAGCAGATCGACATTTTGCCCTCCTCTACCCTACTCGAACCAAAGAGTAGAAAACATCGAAGCATCAATGATGGAAAGATAACGAATGAGGCAAACACCCAGTAGGCTCGAAAGGCTTGGAGATGTCAGTTTTTTACATCTTTTACCACACTCTTGGCTGCATCAAAGTCTAAATAGTAAACTATGTTACATGAGCTTATTTTCGCAATGGAGACCGCCTTTATCAACAACGGGTGAAATACTATTTCTAACATTACGCATACGAATACGAGTTGATTTCTATGAGAGATTTTTAGTTTTTGAAGAAAGTTTTAGTAAAGAATTTGACTGCTTGTCATCCTTGTATCCACTCCCAAACTCAATAAACTACTGATAAATCTAGGTTAAAAACTTGAAAAACGTCGTTAATATGTCAATGCCGTTTAGACAAATTATTTTATGTAATATCTATAAATTCCTCTAATTTGCGAGAAATTTATACGAAGAATAAACTGCTTCGTAATAATGATTATAATTTACGCTACGGTCGGTTTTTTAAAAATTAGACCATGTTTTCTAGAAGATTCGCATAGAAAATGGGTCTAATTCTAAAAATAGACCGTAGTTAAGGAGGTCTGGTACTACATACCGAATATTCATGTAAAAAAATATGTGGTACAAATAATTGCGAGTTAATTCGAGTCTTTATTTTTCATTAGCTAATTACATACAAAATCATAGAGACGTACGTAAATTTTTCGAAAAGTAAAAGTGGGTCATGAAACTGGGGTCTGGCAAGGATCAATTACTAAGATAATTTTTGTAATGTGTTTGCGAGATTATACATCGGCTGTGTCAGATATCAAATCATCCTAGCAAATTGGTGATGCTAATTGTAATGGCTTTCGTTAATAATTAAATGTGCACTCTTAGGAACCTGATAAACACCAAGTGTTGTACATATATTACACTACCGCGTTGATATTGAACCGATATACCACGTTGGTGTATATTCGGAATTAAAGTAACACTTTTCTGCAACAATTTTAATACGGATGGGTATTATGTTATTATCTATATCTAGTACTAATCTAATAAATACTAAATCAATACCACCCTGGTAGAGTCATACATTTATACCGTGGATTATTGATTTTGTTTAGAATGTATTCACGGTGGACTTTGTTAAGAGTTTATGTAAATGAGGTATATAAGGTGCTATGCACCTATTATAGAACACGGAATTTGCGTTTGCAAACCAAGCACAAAACACATGAATATAGAGTTTAATTAATAAATTTTAGAATTAATCTTTTATCAACAATACGGATACCGCAGCGTTAGATACCCTCTCAAAATAAGTTAGAAAATATTTCATGTCAGTCCCATTCCTTATGCTGTCCAACGATCTTATAAACTCCATATTTATCGAATTTGGTAGCAACGAATCCAGAATTTTTTTCTGCGTTTCAACATTCCATGAATTTTTCCCATTTGACGAATACACAAGTTTGAATCAAGCGTTCCCTTGGTGACAAAGCAAATTAAGTAAGCCTGAAGAACAGAAACTATTACAATTGAATGATACCACCAGAATAAACACCGAAATGTCGTCGACATCCATAAACTCGTTCAAGAATTTTTAGCCCAACCCAAGGCTTATGTACCCGTCATGTCTGTCTGTCTGTCTTTCTGTCTGTCTGTCCGTCCGTCTGTCTGTCCGTCCGTCTGTCTGTCTGTCTGTCTGTCTGTCCGTCCGTCTGTCTGTCTGTCCGTTCGTCTGTCTGTCCGTCTGTCTGTTGGTCGAACGATAACTCTTTTTAAACTTGTCCGATCGACTTGAAATTTGGCACACATTTATATTATACAAATGCACCGGTCGAGTTCGAAGATGAGCCAAATCGGTTCAGTGGTTGACCGGTGGGGGTCATTTTAGTATGGGCCCAGGGAACCGAAAATTGGAAATGGTCGTAGAAAGCTGAAATTTGGTTCAGAGGTAGCTAATGGCTTATGATGAAAGAATATGAAATTAGAGAAATTTTCATCAGGAGAGACTTTAGGGGGTGATCCATACCGATTTTTTTAAATCTTCCAATTGAGCTGAAATTTAGTATGAAGGTCACTAATGACGACGAATGGGAGAATATCACTTCAAATTCGAAAAATTGTCATTTTGAAAAACCCAATGGGGAGACCCATACCGATTTTCCATAGTCATCGGATCTAGGCGAAATTTGGTAAATACCATGCTAATGGCTTCTAATGAATAAATTTGAATTGAAATTGGAAAAATATTTAAATTGAGGGCCGTATGGGGTGACCCATACCGATTTTTTTAAATCCTCCAATCGAACTAAAATTCGGCATGATGGTTCCAAATAGAATATAAAGTAATAATATGAAGTCAGTTCACATATATTGTCAACCATTATATAAAATCCCTTGGTCGGGCTCCGCAAAGCTGTACTGATAGGTTTTTTAGATAAGGCCAACGTTGAGAAAACAACGGCATAAATATGGTGCATGCAAGGACATTTCATTTCTCTCAACAACTTCCCTGCACAATTTTTATGATAAGCAATTTAGTTAAATAAATATCTTGAAATATAAATGCATGGAATAAATTATATAATTCATACGATTCTAAGATTTGGCCAATATAAAAATTTATTCATTATTCTCAGTGTCCCATATGTAAATAATTTTATAATTACATCATATCTACAATATGTTACAAGTTTCCAGACCACCATAATGGTTTTGAAGCTTTATCATAAATTACCAAGTTGCGATCATCCTGAAACAGCATTTGAAATCCGGCGCCGTGCGTCCCAGTATGGAAACGGGGTTTCATCGCGACATCATAAATTACAAAGTTTCCATCGCCTTGAAATACAGCAAGGTGGCCGACACCAGTCGTTCCAGAGTTCCATCTTGCTAAATTATTGCCATCGTATATGACAAGGTTTCCATCCCCTTGAAATACCAGTCTACCAATTCCAATTCGACATTCGTATCCTTCCGGGAATGTAAATGGGCGTTCGAAATTACAGGCGGCATGGTTTCCTTGGAAAATCAAGAATTCAAACACGACCAAGATAACAAGTTGCGAAGAAGACGTCATTGCATGTAAATATTTGAACCCAGTTAAAATAATTTCTAAGAAAGATTATCTGTAATTGAAACAGGGAAAATAAAAAATTTCAAAATTAGGGATGAAATTAATTAATTTAGCTTAACCGTATTACTTACAATTAATTTATGGGCACGGTTCTGACTTTTTTTACACGATGTGGTGACAGTGAGATGTGGTTTAGCCTAACATAAAGTTTAATATGGGAAAGCACTATTTTATATTGCCGGAGTAAAAAAAACATGGAATGAACAATGCAAATAAAGAAATTTATGTGGAAGTGTAAATTCTGTGAAATCTGATCAATTTTGTTTACTTCTAAAGGGTTTTATGTAAACGTATCCAGTTTGTTTGTTGGTTATGTTGGTTGTTATTTTTGTTACGTCGATTTTACTACGTTGTGCAGATTAACTGTGCAGATTCGGAGAATTTAATGAATGATTTTCACAAGTACACTCTCTGAAATGTGGTAATGATTTCTTAGAGATGTTCATTACCGAAGGGTTGGTAAATACGAATTTTACAAATAACGGTAATTATTTAGTTACTGAAATTCATTACTGCTGAAATTTTGAATTTAATATATTTTGGTAATTTTGATTAAACTTGAGACATATTCTTTACGTACTGAGCAGTGTGAATTGGTTATTGGAAAAGGTAGAATTTAAATACCGCACGTAGGGAATGTGAACACCGTGTCAATATTGACATGTATATAATAACGTAATGAATCAGTTCCGGCGCGGTAATCATTGAGTTGAATACCGTGCGGTAACTAAACCATTACCAAACCAGTATAGTCTTAAGACTATACTGGTAATACTATACGCGTGTCGTACATATAATTATATGTACGACACGCGATAATGATTCTGGTAAGAAAATTTCTTAGAGTGTAGTTATGTATATAACATGCCTAATTTAATTCTTGGGTATGTAACCAATTAATTTCATAAACATTATACACCCAGGATATATATTTGTAGTAGGTCGTGTGAGTACAAATAACCAAACAGAACGACGTCCATATTTTGACTATTAGGATTTTATTCAAGTCAGTATGTATTATAGATCTAAGACAAATATTTAGTTAAGTACATATGTATGTATGTGGTGCATGTTTCATAAATTGTCCCTTCTAAAATTAGAAGGGACAACCGATGATGAAATCAAATCGTATGTTTTTGAGTATTTTCGAGGTCTTGATGAATCATTGTTTTCTGAAGGTATGCTGTGCCTGAATTCCAAATTGGTAGCTTGTGTCTTGTCGGAGGGAAGCTATATTGAAAAATAAATACTAAAATTATTTCAATAATACATTTTTCCATGAGTTTCTAAATTACCACAAAAAACCGTATGTAAACTGTATGTACGTATCTATGTACATACATATGCTGTGAAACAGGGACTAGCACCTTTTTGTAAAACAATACTGAATCACCAATAATTTCTTCTAAGTTTGCAAGCATGCAATACTTTTAAGGATTTATAAGAGTTGAAACTAACGTATTTTGTAAATATATAAATTACAATTATTTACAACTATTGTTGTAAGTACTTATTAAATTAACAGGATGTTATTTGCATTCAAATTATCCAAATTACATAAACAGTACAAACAACCAAGACTCTGCTTCCTGAACAAATCATTTCCTGATTTATATATGTAATTATATTTGCACGTATTTACTCGTACATACATATACAAATCGTTTTATACAGTTAAATATCCCATTGTCCTCTTATCGTCCATCTCATATGCCAGTTCCTACTTAATCTAACCATCCATATAAAATGGAAGGTTGCATCAACATACATAGTCCTATCATACGTTTTACGTTAGTTACAACTCAAACTTAGTCCACTGGTTTTATGAAGATATAAATTTTTATAAAATGGAAAGCCTTAAAATAACCTTGATATTCCTGACTGTCTCGTTCAACTCAATTTTTGCAGACTTTGAAGTTGTGGTATAAGTTTCAAAAAAAAAATCTTTATACATTCTTCCCTCATTTAAAATTATGTATACCAATTGTATAGTACCATGATTGTTAAATAAATATTAATAGATAACTGGACCCCATTCATCATCCATTCTGGAAGAGGACTATCTAACCACTTATATTCCAATCTATGTCGGCGTTATTGTTTCCTTGTTTACCCTTCTGGTCATCGTGCTCCGCTTGCAGGGTCGACCCTTCTTATCGGAAAGTGGGTTTGTCAGAATTTGGTGGGGGGATATTGATTCGCCCGAAAATTCGCAACATGTCACCGATTGGTACACGTTCACTCATATGCTTCACGGGCTGATCTTTTTCTATTTGACGTATCCCCTTCTCATATGGGTCCATTTTACAGTAAATTATAACTTTGTTATCGCACTAGTGACCGAAGTGGTGTGGGAGATTGTTGAAAATACGAAATGTGTGATTGGGCGGTATAGAAGGACCGAGGGTTCGACCGAATATGGGGGGGATTCCGTGTTAAATTCCGTATTTGACACGATAGCTATGTCGGCCGGGTTTTGGTTGGCGTGGATCATCCCGTGGTATGCGACAGTGGGGTTGGCCGTGGTGGAAGAGGTCGTCCTGGCAATTGTAATAAGGGACAATTTGGTGTTAAATATGGTGCAAATTGTATTTCGCGTTAAATGTGTGTCGGACTGCCAGGAGAGGGGGAAACGAAAAAGAGTGACAAATGGGAAGGTGGGGGAGGTTAAAACGGAGGAGGAGGAGGAGGAAATGAATGTATAATTGTGCTTACTCAATACAGCAGTTGGAATACAATGGCTAAAAGATAGTGTATGCTTTAAATCATAAGTTTCTGTAATATGGCGTTGATTATGTCAATAAATTTCTGGACTAGCAATTCGGTGAACATGTTTGGAATATTGGATCTTCAGAGAAATATTTGATTTTTAGCAATCTTGTCATAATTATGAAGTATTGACTATGATTACACTGTGCACAACTTAAAGATTTAAGTTAAACTACGATGTTACTGTATTCTGAATTAATTTAGGTTGTGGGTCAGGGATTTCTTGTTGTCTTTAATAGGGTTTTAGTTTAGAAGTTAATTTCAATAGTATGTACATAACTAGTGTCCAAAATATAAAATGGGGCAATATGTTACAAGTTCTTTGATAACGACTTTTTTACAAATCTATGCACATATATGTAATCTCCTGTTAATTCTGAGCATTTTGATGTGTATTACTGCATGGTTTAGACAATTTCGAAATTTCTCATAAGAACACATGTTAAAATAAAAGTTTTTCAGAATTTCATGGTATTACACATCAAAATGCTCAGAATTAATAGGAGATTACATATCTATGCATAGATTTGCAAAAAAGTCGTTATCAAAGAACTTGTAACATATTGCCCCATTTTCCTATGTTAAACCCTTTTGGACAGTTTTGGACAGTTTCGGACATTTTGGACAGTTATGGACAGTGTCCTGTCCAAAAAGGTTTTGGACGTCCAAAACGAAACACTGCATTTTATTCATCTTTACCTAATTTAAATACACTTACTATAGGTTTTATTATGGATGAGAATGGAACTAATATATGTGAAAAGTATAAGAAAATGTTGCATTCTCTTAATATTAGGATATGATATATAAAAGTGACTTCATTACGGAAACAACTTTCTATATAGTATTTATCTAATTAATACATACAGTATCTACTTCTATTGTTGGCATCCTAATCACAGGCAGCATTCAAAATTTGAGATCCCAAGTTCTGGTGACTTTTATAAAACGACGATATTATAATTTATTCAAAATATATTGTTCTACAATTTTGCCAAGTTTCAAACGAATTGAACCAACAATGCGTCCTGTGGACAAATTTAAAAAGACAAAAATCAGAATTTTACGCATAATAATTATTGGCACCCTTGCGTTGGACGTAAATTTGAATCTCATTTTTATTACCGCGGTAACTATTTGAACCGTTTGGTCATGACCGATTTAAAGGCATGCTTGTACGCACAAAATAACGTATTTCGAAACAGATTTGAAAAAATAGTATTCTCAGAAATCCGCTTTCATTTTCAATGATTCAAGTTCGCCTGTCAAGTACTGCATGTTTGGGAATATGCCGTCTTTCCAAGAATTGGCTTCGTATTTCGTCCACGGGGGAAGAAGCTATGGCAAAAATGACTTTTTGAAGGATTTGATGGGTCAACGGCAATGCATGCATCATTAATGATGACCCATTAATCCAGATTTCTTTGGCAAAAAATTCTAGCAGGATTCATAAATGGCGAGCGTTTGATAATACAAAGGAAGGTGAGGCGCCATCCATAAATTATGTAACGCAAGAGGGGGGGGTGGGGGGTCAAAGCTTCAATGATATCGTGCCTATGTTACACATGTTAAAGGGGGGGGGTGGGGGCCTAAAAAATCGCCATTTTTGCGTTACATAATTTGTGGAGGGCGCCTGAGCAGCGATTCCAACTTTCTTCCTATGCTTCGTATATTCGACGTTCACATTTGAAAGTGCTAAGAGCACTCATTTTCTTAAATCGCGATGACCCACTCTCAGAGATTAGAATAACGCGACAACGATAACTGAAAATTATACCGTTACTGATTGTTTCGTGTTCAAAAGTTGATATGAAAAATTGATATGAAAGATTGGTGTCGTCTTTTACAAACAACTATAATCTGGATTATAATTTCTATCAATTTGGAAGTAGTTATAAATCCATAAATTTAACTGGCGTGTCCCTTAATCAACCTTAACCCAGTTTATGTTACTGATAGAAAGTTTCTATCAGCATATTCAACTTGTCTACATACATATATGTACTAGAAACCAAGTTTAGAGCGGCATTATAATCGTCAACTTATTTGGTTACGATCTGACAAGCCATATGTACAATGCTTTAAATGTAAAAATTGCAAAGTAATTACTTTTCGACAAATTTGAATTTAAACCAATTGGGGTCTACATCCGGTACCCCACTGCGCATAATTGTACTTTTATACAAAACCCTGCATTTTTATGAACCAAAACTATTGCTAAATCGTAGAAAAACTAATTACTAACTAATTTACCACAAATTTGGAATTATCAGCTCGCCCAATTTTTAACTAAACAAAAACTGCAAAATGGCGTAAAGTTTTACGCCATTTACAAAATGCCCAAAATACGACCAAATTTGACACTTATAACGAATTGATTCTTTTCATAAACTTAGAACTTAAATGTTACCCCATGGGCTGCAATATTTTATCACTTTCAATCAATGAATCGTTTGCCGTCATATCCTTTGACATTCGAGGTTAACGCTTTACACATTACAACAAAGGCTCAAATGCACTAAAAACATATAAGAATTATTCTACATTTTGGATACAAACATATTACTATCTCTAGATTTGACAGGTATCGTTCAATATTAGGATACTCAATAAATTTAGAGTCTGCATAGGACTCCACATTTCTCAACTTCGAAATAAACCAGTTGATAACAAGGTTCAAAACATATTTGAGCTATGGTTCTTGAAACTATTTTTGATTTACAATCGTTGTTACATAAAATGCTAACAGGTATTTAAACTTTTAGTAGATTTCAAGAACGCTTGAACCATTTCTGGGGTTGAATAATTTAGTATGTATGCTATCAAGAAATTTGGTTCCCCAAATCTCAAAAAAGTTTTTATAACAGCAAGGTTAATAAGGATTTTGTCAAAGCGATAACACACTCTAACTTCGTATTTGCATATATTTGCAACCATACACGCTACCCATGGCAATCGATTGATGGCGGCGAGAACACGATACATACAAGATAAAAGTATCCCTTATCAGTTAGTCATCAAAATTAGATATATGGTAGCCCCATTTAGGAGCCACACATCAAGCATGTCTTCCAAAATTGTGAGAATTTTGACAAAACCTACTCCTTCATTTGTGTGACAACATGACTAAAACGCCATATACATACGTTATGCATGTTCCGAATAAGGTTAATATCTTCAAAGCTGTATGTGCATAGGATAAAATGGATGCAAATTAAACATCAGAAAACCTTCAGTTGCAAAATTATTACCACAAGGTGTGACAGTGCATACTAGTTTAAGTTTGTCAAACATTTTTATCAGAAATGTCAACTTTTACAATAATGTTTGCCATTTACACTGGATTCATTTCCGCCACATTCTATGAAGATGGTACAGCTTCTCTTGTGTCAGTTCCCACTGACTACGGCTCTTTTCAGCGTCCTGACCTTCACAGAATAATATCGCAAATCCCTTGCACTACTCACGTAATGCATCACAACCTTGACTTCCACTCCTTCGAGGTGAAGAACCCAACTGTTCTGTCGCTAATTTCTACACTCCAACTTGATCGATTAGTTCCTATGGAATACAAATCCCTGCAGCAGCGTTCTATACTTCATTTCTATTTGCGGTATTACTCCCGGCATAGAAAGTTCTGTTATTTTTACATCTTCTACTCCAACCCGCCGTGGGACTCAGTTTCATTAGGGCTTCTCATGAGATTGTACATATTAGAAGGGCACGACTCAGTTAGGCAAGACCAGGGAGACCAGAAAACGTCCGATACCAACCAAGTCGATTACATATACGCCATCTTCGTCACGACAGGAAAGCAAACTTATTTTCAAGACGTTACAACAAGATTACCAGGATCTCAATATGTGGCTTATCTCAAGCCAAATATATTCTTGTTGTCGATCGTTCCAAATTTTGGATTGCTATTCTTATCTGACACGAGGGAAGGGAATGTACTTTGTGTCTCAACGCGTCAAATGTCCTACCCAGTTCGAAAAGAACTAATTTGCGAGTTCATTCCATATCAAGAGTTACTTCACTATTTTTCCCAACGTCACCTGGAACATAATCGATTTAGGTTACCTCCCGATTTCCCTGGCTTTCAAAGGGGCACGTTTGGTTCATCGATTTTCAGCCAAATTTCAAACCCCGATATATTCTTGCTCGTTAAAATATTGGCTCCGTCTTGCAACGTTTCCATCATTCTCTTAGCAAATGCAGAGGAAAGCAACCTGCCGGTCATTTACTCAGGCGAAACTTCGGCTCTCTGGGATATTTATCATTGGACTTCAACGATTGTCATAGTTGGGGAAAAGAATCTCCACTTTATCACATGTCACTCGCGAAAACAGCTCAGTTTTGACTTGTACATTAAGCCTTTTGATTTCCTTTCCTGGATATGTTTGGCGGGTTTCGTGCTTATAGTGGTTGGGGCATTGAGAGGCTTTTTTGCGCTTTTATCTGTGAAATCGGAGACAAGATATACTGGATTAACTTCTCTGGCATTCTGGACAGTTGGCACATTGCTGGAACAGGTGGATACCATTAGTGGAAAACCTGCAGAATATTCGGGGTTCCGCTTATTTCTAGCGATTTGGCTATTACTCGCCTCCGTCATTACGAATGGGTATAAAAGCTTTGTAATGATGAGCCTTAATGTTCCGGAAGTCCTCCTATATCCACATTCATTTGAGGTAGGATTATCCGCAATGTTTGAAATTAATAAAACTAAAGTTTAGGATTTTTTTCGTTTTAGGACATCTCTTGCAAAATGCCTGATTTTACTGATGCTGAGGTTCCCCCAATATTTCAATCAGTGTTAATTCTACTATCCGTCTTACCGTACCATGAAAATGGTACTGAGATACGAAAATTATTGATAACGTCATCCTCCTGCTACTCCGTATTGTCAGCTCCGATACAAATCCCACAACTTGATTACCTTTCCTCCCTTAGTTACTCATTTTTCCAAGATATGCAATCTCTAATTCAGTCTGCAAGCTATAACGGATTTGCCAGCCGGAGTGACAAAACAATAAAAGAAATCATCGACC